GGAATAAATTTAAATCAATACAAAGAAAAACACATAGAAGAAGTATGAAATAAAGGAAATGACACAAATGAAGAGACTCCAAGTAGTTGATACAAGTATAACAAAAAAAAGTGTTTCTAATAATGACATCGCAACGAATTCGTTGTCCGAAGTAGGGTCTGACAGCTTCCTTAATAACTTTTTTATTACCGCGTCGGCTCCTTTCGTTAGGATGACACGAAACAAAAAAGATTCCTTAGCAATATTTCGTTGTTATTTATCATGAAAATGTGTTCAATTTTGTAAATTGAATAATTTAAAATCATCGTCTTTCTGGCCTTTTTACAATCACGTATTTATAAATCTTAATTTTTACGGCCGGTATCTGTCGCCAACTCTACTTGGGAGATGCAATTTAAAACAATTATTTGTCAATTAAAAAACAAAAACCCGACGCTGTATGACTTCACCTCTTTCGTCAAAATAACTTTAATCGTTTAAGTCGCAATTAATCGTTTAAATTGCCTCAAAACATACAACAAATACATTCAAAGATAAAAACATATGCATGAAAAAATATTATTATTTAAACCTCTCAAATGTAATATCAAACGGAACGAATACTGAAACGTCATTAAAATATTAACCAGCGTCTTAAATGATGAGGCCATGCTTATAGTGTGAACAGACCCGAAACTAAATTTTCGCTCAACTGTTTAGTCTCTGTTTAAATTGGCTACAAAACAATTGAAAATCGCACAACTTTTGTGCTACAGTCTAGTCAAAGGTGTACGCCCGCCCTTAAACTCCATAGTCCTTAATTTTGAAATCTATCAGATTGTAAGCGGCCCTTACGAAGTATTTATGTTTCGTTTCAGTATTTGGTCGTAAGAAACTCGAACTTTAAAGTATCCTTATAGACGTAAAGCTCCGCGCAGACTTATAACGTGATTCAATTAATTAGAAGTTGTAAAAGCTTTCAAAACGTTAAGTATCCTTGGCCGGGAAGTCGTAACTATAGAGTTATAACTTAACTTCGTATCTGAATGGTATGATATTATTCTTTGAAAATAATGCCGGATTATTTAAAAAAAATAACAAGGATACAACTAAATTATTGTATTTAAAAAAAATATAAAAATGTCGAATTTTAAACAAATTATTGACCATATCTGACTGTTTAGTCTCGCTTTAATTCCTAGGAGCTTATATGGAAAGGTACACGCTCCTCGATTTTTAGTTGTGTAACGAAACAGTTGAATTGACTGCGAAATAATCGACAATCAACATTCACACAACAGTTGTGCGAACATTTAGTCAAAGGTGTACGCCCGCTCAAAAGAAGATAAAATATTTATTAACATAAACTTAAAAAAAAACGTGTTACTTAAGTGAAGTATACGTTTCGAATTATTCATTCATTAAAATTTTTAGTTTAGCCGTTTAGTCTACAGATAACAATTAAATATATATACACACAAATCTACGTACATCTCACTGGGGTGAAATATGACCCATCAGTCGGGTAATGGAAGAATATTCGTCTAATAATTTCAAGAGTGAACTGTCTATACTCTTATAATAAAGCGTCAACACACACTTCTTTGTTGCCTAAGATGCCAATTACAGCATATTTTTGAATAATTATTTTTTTAATAAAAAGCCTTACACTTACGTCATGTTTTATGGTATATATTTTCACGCCATTAAACTTAGAGGGTAAATATTTTGGATAGAAACCCTAATGTGGGAAAGAGACCATAAGTTGCTGCCAACAAGGAAGCAAGATTGCCAAGTTTTGTCATGACATGTCATTTTGACATTTGCAATCGACATATGTAAGCAATAAAATAATTTTATTGTAATGAAATCGCACGAGAACAGCTAGTATTGGTATAAATTAAATAATAATAATAATAATAATAATCATTTATTTCAGACATCAAAGATCCATAAGATTAAATTCATCATTCATTATTTATCTTACACCACCGTAAATCCAATTAACCAGCGCGTTAAATTGGATAGAAAATATGCGCGAGTAAAATGATTAAAATCGAATAATATGCATAGATATGACATGTACAATCAGCTGCATAAATATATATTTACCAAGCTATAGAAAGTTGTATGTTTACTGTTTCAAAAACATATATGTGCGTGTTTGTCTTTATGCTTCCGAAATATGACAGAATAGTGAAACAATTTTGATCCCAAAAACCGATACAAGTTTCTAAAGTTTTGTAAATGTATACACATTTTTGTAGCTGACTGTACTTTATTAAAATATAAACGTATCTTCCTTTTTTAACCCGTTGTGTTAGAGTGAGATAACAATAGTTTTGCTTGTCCGTTTATTTTACAATTAATAAAATATTGGATCTACAGACACAAATGGTAGGCAACGCATCCGCTATTGTGAATGTCTATGGGCAGCGGTCACTCTGCCATTTTGGCGGATTCAGGTGGCCGCTTGCTCGTTCGCCACCTTATAATATATAAAAAAAAGAATGGGATAATGCAGGGAAAAAGTCCTTTATCATTATCTATCAAGTCGTCATTTGCAAGCTTTTATAAGAAAAAGTAAAGAAGTTGTAAATAAATCATTTAAAATACGCGGACAATACCGCAGAGCAACACTCGTCATATCCGTGTTCATATCCCACACATATTTAATAACAGTGTATTAGTATTAAGCAAACGTTTTACCACAAATATTAATATCCTTTGAAGGTATATCAGGAGAGTTTAATTAAATGTTCCTCAATACGAAAGCATGAATATCAAAGTATAGGGGAAAATGATTAAATATTTAACCTTTATTGAGATTAATTTCTACATTTATAAACAAAACTTTGATTTAAATTATGTTCATGTATCAAAGTATAGATATACTAGCTTACGCTCGCGACTCCGTCAGCGTGGAATTGAAAAAAAACAAAACTGAGTACCCTATGTGTTCTTCCTAACTATCCTCTACGTCTATGCCAAATTTCATCATTTCATTTCAACAAATTTCATCGACATTCGTTCAGCCATTTAGGCTACAAACTCTAACATCCACCTATCTAAACTTTCGCATTTATAATGTTAGTATTTAGTAGTAGTTTAGATTTTATACTAGCTATGAACAGCGACTTTTTTACGTGGTATAAAAAAATTGTTGAAATCGTTCCGGTAAGAGTTTATTCGTTATTTGCTTTCGCCCGCGACTCCATCCGCGTAGAATTTAATTAAAAAGGTAGTCTATGTGTTAAATTTCATTGAGATCCGTTAAGCAGTTTATGGTACAAATGCTAACAATAATTTAATCTTTCGCATATTTGTAAGATATCATTGTAGGTAATAAGACCCTATTTGCTTCAACATATTTATCTTTTTATAATGAAAATAGCTGTTTAATGGTGAAAGAATTTGTTAAATCGGCCCAGTACTTTTTTAGTTTTTTTAATACATACAAAAATACAAATCTTCCTTTATAATTTTAGTATAGACTAGCTTTTCCCGTGCGACTTCATCCGCATGAAATTGTGAAAATTTTATTTTATTGTTTACATTTGTCAAATTATCGATGACAAATGTCAAAATGACATGACATGATGACAACCTTGCTTCCTTGAAGATGGCAGCAACTTATGGTATCTTTCCACATTAGGGTTTTTATCTAAATTATTTGCCCCCTAAGTTTCATGGCGTGGAAATATATAGCCTAAAACGTGAAGCAAGTGTGGGGCTTTTTATTAAAAAAAGAATTATTCCAAAATATGCTGTAATTGCTGACATCTTAGGCAACAAAGAAGTGTGTGTTTACGCTTTATTATAATAGTGTAGATATGTTGCAAAATGTTTAAGTAAATTCAACGAGACTGTTAAGTATTTTGAACAATACATTGCAGAATCAACCTTTGAGATTAATTTAGTAAGATTTTCAGAAGATGGTACGATATTATGCGAATCGTGCTCAAGGGAGCTTGTTCGTCACAAATTCGTCTGTTGAATTATGCGCTACGGCGAAATGCCCTTTGTTAACGATTCAAGTGAAAACTTGATAACAAAGGTCATATTAAAATTATATAGAGAAAAGAATATTTAATTAATTATTTACTAAAATAATACGTATACGTGGCTTTACTAAAGTGGTGTTAAAGTTTGCATATATTTTTTTTAAATTTTGAAGTAATAAAATTAAACTATCAAATGATCAAAAGATTTTTGGAAACAGATATTTAATAATATTTAAATATAAAATTACACAATGTTTGTTACTATCAATTAAAACCAATTTATTTATTTATTTACTAATATAATAAAGCGTAAACACATACTACTTTGTTGCCTAAGAAGTCAGCAATTACAGCATATTTTTGTATAATCCTTGCTTTAATAAAAAGCTCTACACTTACGACACGCTTTAGGCAATACATTTACACACTAATAAACTTAGGGGGTAAATAAATTGAAAAAAAAATCATGTAGGAAAGGGACCATAAACTACAAGCTGCCAACATTAAGGAAGCAAGGTTATTATGGTAACCGTAATTTTGATATTTGCAATTTTAACATTTTCATAACTTCATGCGGATGAAGCCGCACGAAACAGCTAGTTAATATTATAAATTCGAAAGTTCAGATGGATAAAAATTTCGGATATATAGAACGGCTTGATTTTAGTCCCTTTTCCTTTCCATCCTTTTCTTAAGAGGAAAGGATAGGAAGGAAAAGTGGATTTGACGGTGGAGGAGACGCAAGGGAAGGGGAAATGTCCCCTTTTATGTGCGTTTACTCCTGCGTCAATTAAGGGTAGTCAACGCATCTGCAATTGCGGATGTTTATGGGCAGCGGTCGCTCTCCATTTCGATGGATTCAGGTGGCCGCTTGCTCGTTTGCCACCTTATATTAGGAATAAAAAAAAAAACGGAACAATAGATCTCGTTGAAATTTCTCATAGATGTCGAATTTTTCACTAAGTTTGGCATTTAATACATTATTTGTTTTTATCTCCATGGTCTGTTTCTTATATTTTAACATCTCTCACGCTTGAATACTCTCCAGTCTGCAACAAAATTGACCTTTGAGTGTGAATATCGATTTCTTTGTTTATTTATTTAGGTATACGTACTTCGCCATGTGTTACAATTTTCATAGTGCATGCGACAAAAGTCACTGAAATCTTTATATTCACCATTGTAATTTATAGCACAAATGTGTTGATATCTGAAAAAAATAGTCTAAAGATAAAAAAAATACATTGCTTAAATATTTGGCTTATACATATCTCAACCCTTTTATACCGTGACTAATGATTGGTTCCGATTTTTGACAAATCATGGTTATGAAAACATTTTGCGTAGGCTTGCGAAATGCTATCTACATTTCTATACACGTAATAAAATTGGAGTGTCTGTCTGTAATATCAAAAGAAAATTTCCAGATTCCGGGAATATGATGTATTTGCGTTGCTGATAACGAAAAAAGCATTTAAAAAATGTCTGTCTGTCCGCAAGCCTAGTTTGTTCCGGGTAATCTCTGAAACTGCTAGGACGATTTTGGCCGAACTTTCTCTGAAGGGTAGCTGACGCAGATATGCATATTATAGGCAATTGTTTTTTCGTGGATGACGTCGCGGGCAACATCTAGTCACCAATAAATGATAAATTACTTGTACTGAAAGCAGTGTGGTAATTCATATTTATTGTGTAACATAACCACGTTGAAGTTCATAACATCAATCAAGACTTAATTTTTATTTTTTACAATACTGAAAATATTTTATAATTGTTATTATTAACATTACAAACGTATTATTGTTAAAGTATATCATGTAATTATAATTCCCCTTACTTTCACCCGCGACTCCATCCAGAATTTTAAGCAAAGGTTAGTAGTTCATATATTCTTGCAGACTATCCTCTACATCTATACCAAATTTCATCATAATCCGTTCAGCAGTTCAGGCTAAAAACTCTAACAAACATCCATCCATCTAAACTTTTGCATTTATAATATTAGTATGATACGATTTGATAATAATCTCGCCAGAATTGGCAACTTACGTGTCAATTAACTCACCTGAAATGTATGGGACAATCATCCAGAAAATTCCTACATCCTTTAACCAAGAAATCTGTTACCCAGAATAACGTATCTTTTGGGTATTTGATCTTTGGCTTGCGGTATTTTGCGCTTGAAACCATTCCAAACAGGAGAATAACTGTGAATGTGACTGACAAGAAACTTACGTTAAGTCTTAAAATATTGCAATTGGTAATCCCACTACATACGGTCAGTTCTAACTAAAGAGTTGAAATGTTCAGGTATTTTTTTCCTACAAACGCACTGTTTTTATTAAAGAGTTCGACTTTTCAGTTAAATCTGTTAGATTTTTTTTATATCATACGGTGGGAAACGAGCAAATGGCTACCTGAATACGCTAATATTGCAAAGCAACCGCTGTTCATAGATATTTTCGATAGCGGATGCGTTGCCTACCCTTAATCTAGGCAGGAAACGCACATAAAGAGGTTATTTCTCCTTCCTATGCGTCTCTTCCAGCATTAAATCCACGTTCCCTCCCATCCTTTTCTTATAAGAAAAAGGGTGGGAAGTAAGAGGGACTAAAGTTGGGCCTAAAGGTTAGAACTGATCGTATGTTGTGTGCTTTGAATCAATACGTCAATATCATATTACATTAGACAATACTAGTCCTAAAATGCTCGTCTTAAATTTTGAACAAAATATGTAAATACAATATGAATATCGTTAATAATAGAATAAAAATAAGCATTTTTTTAAAAACGTTTCTTCTTATAGAGATAT